CTATCTTTGATCCTTCTTCTATGGCCAACTTGTCGGTTTTCACTTGCACATCTTCTAGTTTGTGGGAAATCAGACATATGTCATCGGCGAAGTCCAGATCCTCCAAGTCTTTTGTGTGAGTCCATTTTGTGCCTGTTTCCTCGCTTCTCGCTGTCTGTCACATTATCCAATCTCCTGCAATCAGGAAAATCATTGGTGATAGTAGGCAGCCTTGTCTCACTCCCGTCCTTACTTCGAAGGCTTCCGTAAGTCTCCCGTTGTGGATTACTTGGCATGCAGCATTGTCGTATAACTGTTGGGTGAGATGTATAATTGTCGATGGGACCCCGTAGTAGCGAAGTAGTTGCCAAATCACCTCTTGATCGACGCTGTCGATAAGGTGATGAAGTTAAGATAGAGAGGTGACCGCCATTCGAAGCTTTGTTCAATGATGATCCTTAGTGTGGCGATTCGATCAATACATGACTTTTTCTCCTGAATCCGGCCTGTCCCGGTCGAATTTTTTCATTTAGGGCTTGTTTGATTCTCTCCAGGATGATGCGGCTTAGTATTTTGCTCAGATGGACAGGAGCATAATTCCGCGCCAGTTTTTGCATTGACTTAAATCTCCTTTCTTTTGTGGTTTGAATAAGTATCCTTTCTTCCAATCCTCAGGTACTTCGCCCTCTTTCCACACCTTCTCCAGCAGTGGCGTCATCAAGTCCGCTGTTGTCTCTGGGTCCATTTTCAATGCTTCTGCTGGGATTCATCTGTTCTGTTGCTTTTCCAGCTTTAGCATCTTGATTGCATTCAGACTTCTGATTTCGTTGAGGGTCGATGTTCACTGGTAGTTCTGCTTCCGTTATTGGTATTGTTGGGCGCGTTGTAGGTGGCGGTCGATTTAGAAGTCTTTTGAAGTGTTCAGCCTATTGTTTGCTTTGCTCCTTCTTTGTCGACTGACTTTCCATTATCATCCTTCACTCTAATTTGTGTCGAGCTTTTCCGGATAGGAGCCTAGTTTTTGGTAGAGTGTGGCGAGGTATCCTTTGCCTGCATCTTGTTCTGCTTCACTTTCCATGGCTTCATAATTTTTTCTTTTGTCTTCCCTGGCACTCTTCTTCACTCTTTTGTTCAGTGTATTGTAGCTTGCATTCAACTGCTGTTTTTGTTGCTCGTCAGTGCACTGGATAATCTTTTGTTTCACTGTCCTTCTCTCGTCTATTAGTTTCCAAGTGTCCGCAGTGAGCCACTGTCTTTCCTGTCTCTTCTTTCTGCCTAGAACTTCCATGCAGGTTTGACTCCACACCGTTTTCAAGTTGTCCCAGTGCTTTTCGACGCTGACCTTTTCGCTGGTGTTGATTTGTGTCTCGGCTTTGTCCCTATGTTTGCAATGAAGATGTCCTTTGTAGCTTGATCCTTCAGTTTTTGAGTGTTGAACTTGGCTTGTGTCTATCTGCAGCTCCTGTTTCTGTGAAAGCTTTTAATTTGATTTGGATTGTCCCTTGTACGAGATAGTGGTCTGAGCCAACGTCTGCTCCTCTTCTTGCTTTTGTGTCCAGTAGGCTGCGCCTCCACTTCCTTGAGCAGCATTGAGATGAAGTCAATTTGGTTTTTGGTTTGCCCATCTGGTGACACCCATGTAGCCTTGTGGATATCTTTGTGTTTGTATACACTGCCACCAATCACTAGTCCGTTGAAGGCACAGAAGTCGGCGAAGAGTTCTCCATTTTCATTGATTTCTCCGAGAGCTTCTCTACCCATGATGGGTTCCCTTGCTGTGTTGTCTGGTTCCAGTTTGGCGTTCATGTCTCCCATTAGTATTTTAATGTCACCAGCTGGCGTATGGTTCATTGCTGCCTGTAGTTGTCTGTAGAATTCTTCTTTCTTTTCGAGGTCTGCGTTGTTTGTGGGTGCATAACATTGTATAATTGACACTTTACTTCCTTTGGAGTTGAATCTGGCGGTCATTGGCAGTCTGGGCGAGATCGCCTCCCATTGCATCACAGCCTTTGTTGACGTTGGTGACATCATGATGGCCACGCCCTCGGTGTGCGTGTGGTTATCTTCTGAGTGACCGGAGTAGATCACTGACTCACCCGTTGACAATTTGGTGAGTCCATTCCCGTTCCATCTGCTTTCACATATTCCAAGCACTTGGATTCCGTATCTTTTCATCTCGTTTGCGATCTAGGAAGCTTTGCCAATCTCGTACATGGTGCGGACGTTTCATGTCCCCACAGAGACTTTTTCTTTTGGCGCAAGGAGATTCGTCAGACTGAAGTTTCTGTAGCGACTTTGTTTACAGGGTGGGGTTGCTAGCTTCACGCCTGAGAAGGGAGTTGTTACATTAGAATATAGTTTACAGAGGAGTGACCTTGTGGGTTGCTCCCCTTAAAATCAGATAACAAGGGATAAAACAATCAGAACAACACCATCAAATGGAAAACAATTCACAGCAAAAAGGGCAAAAGGCGACAACAACGATACAATACAACAACATGCAATATAGTTCAGCACAGTTAACTAAAATGACTCACTGACTTGGGCCAACTTGAACATATAAATCCAACAATATATACAATTATAGATATGAGTTTTTGTTAAAAGTCACAAATATCAAAAACTTTGTTACAGGTATTAGTAGTCGATGATATTATATCCACAGTTTAAGTGTTCGAAAGTAAACGGATCGCAATAATTTCCAGAACTTCATGGTGAGCAACAACAAAGAAATGAGAGTTTTATATATCACAGCAAAAAGTAACGCACAGTAGAAAAGCGCGCCTCGTAATATAATCAAAATGAAATTATACCGTGATGAAATTATACGCAATCTCAGTGACCGAATTCTATCCTAACCGAGAGGTTGACAGAGGTAGCACTAAAAACAGGAATCGAGGCAAGCGTTGAAAATGAGATGGTGATGAAGACACCTGGCGAAAACACAATCAGCATCAGCTACAGCAATCTAAAGAGACATTCCTCTTTCAATTATCCTACTCAGCCAGCAACATTTCGTCCATGGATGGCATGGATGAGGCCACATAAGATGGAGTCGGGGAGGCGAAATAGGACTTCATTACTCTAAAGTCGGCGTAACTATCTATGCCATTTGGGATTAGAACAACATTCGAATTCCTAACACAAACCTTAAGGCAGTGCTGATATATGGTTCAGGAACTTGAAGCATGTTTCACAAAAAGCGTTTCCAGCACCATGCAGATTTTCACCAACGTCTGTCTCCCTTATATACTTAAGATCAGATGGCCAGTCAGAAAGACTAAGCATGAAATATCTGTTACAGTGAACCAGGCAACAGGGTTACTGTACACCGCAGAAAAATTCTTCGGTGAGAAACAGAAGTAGTCGTTTCAAGCCGAAACGATCTCCTCGAGTACAGACCGTTTTCACTACTTCCAAAGTCGAGTTCGCCAGCAAACGTAAGTACATAACACTAGATATTAACGGCAAACGTATTCGTCTTCAGTTGGATACGGCATCAGATATCACCGTAATTTCCCGAACTACGTGGCGCAAACTTGGTTGCCCACAGATTCTGCCGACCGAGCATGTCGCCAAGAATGTCTCTGGAGATATACTGAAACTCGTGGGTGAGATAAATTGCCAGGTTCAGTTTGGTGAGCATCACTTCAATGGTGTATGTTACGTTACAAACTACCATGATTTGAATTTGCTTGGTCTTGACTGGTTAGACAAGCTCCATATCTTTAATGTACCATTAAATTCAGTATGCTCTAATGTTTCGTCTTCACCACACAACGTTGTTCCCGGAGATGTATCTGATCAATCTCTCTTGCAACGCCGTCGTCAAAAGCACGCTTCTGTCTGCCAGGACAAACTTGGTTGCTGCAAACTGTTTGGCATCCAGCATATTCGTAGCCCCCCGTATCATCCCCAATCGAATGGACAGACTGAACGTTTCGTCGACACCTTTAAGCGTGCTTATGCAAAAGCGAAGGGGGAGGGAACAACAGAAGAAATTTTGGATAAATTCTTGCTGCATTATCGTACGAATGAAAAAGGACAGTTATGTGTCAGACACACAGATCACGCTCTATCCAGTACCATGCGAAGGTCAACTCGACAAAGAAGAGCTCCGAAACCTTTTCAAATAGATCCAAAAAGCAAGTCCTACACTCTTTACGGGGGGAGGTGATAGGATCCCACATATTTTGGTATTGACTGTTTAATTTTGTATATATGGTATATTATCATTCTCACACATTTTGGTAGTGACTGCTAATTTTGTATATATGGTATATTATCATTCTCACACATTTTGGTAGTGACTGCTAATCTTGTATATATGGTATATTATCATTCCCACACATTTTGTTACTGACTGTCAACCTCGCACATATGGTATATTATCATCTCTCACGCACTTTGTTATTGGCTATTAAGAGCAATTATTTCAAATGCTGTTAACTGTCCATATTGTTGTAAAATGTATAAATACCATGGCTTTCTTTGTCGTTGTTGCACTTCAATACACAGTCACAGTCCAGCCTTTGTCTTTTGATATTTGCGTGCTTTACTAAATCGGAAGGTACGACAAGCAGATAGACAGATTAGTTCAGGCGCAGACAGAATAAGGTGAAAACGTCTTCATTCAATCCCCTACAGTTATAACAAATTGGCGACGGTGTTTTACCTTAGTTCATTACAGTTATAACAGAACTGATGACAGACAACCGAGTGAAGATGTGATAGGGAAGCTGTGAGTCAGACATGGACTACACTGACCATTGATAGGCGTTCATACAGCACCGATTAACAAATAGTGTGCTGAGCTACGGTTTATTTTAATTTAAAAAGCAAACACACAAAGCCTGTACTCACTCAGACAGCCAAAAGTTACTTCTTTCAAAAGAGTGTATTTCAGTGGATATTGAAAATATTTAGAAATTTCATTTTAATAAAATAGAAATCAATAAAACTCTGATGCACAAAATGGTGAGTAGCAATCTTCATTCACTTTCTCCATTTGGTTCATGTTCTCAAATTTTAGTTGGGCAGAAACCTGGACCGTTGACTGGATGAGCTTCTATGTTGTTACTGAAATAAATCGTCAAACAATTACAAAGAAATCTGCAATCAGCTTTGTTATTTCACACAACGAATAACTAGTATTGGTAGACAGCATTAATGCGTAGAAAAATTTAGATGCTCCTCGTTTAACTGTTATGTTCTGTGTGCATATATCAGTTCACCTACTCATTTGGAGCCAGATACATTAATAGTTCGACGCGTATCCTGCCTGAAAATGTTCAAGAACACTATCCCGCACATGGTTTAAGGAAGGAATTAGTTCTCTCTTAAGGAGTACGATATTCCACTATCTAGAGAGCACCGGCCATTCCATCTAAGCAAACTCCTCCTTCCATGTAATCTGCTAAGTGAAGAACAACTTATCGAAATCAAACCTCTGTCTTCTCCTTTGTATTGCTGAAACTTTAAAGATTCATTTAGGGAAACCTGAGATGTGCGTACAAAAGGAAGTTATTCAATCATATCTAATGTCATGGCTACAGTTGTGTTGATTTCTTTTTTTTCCTTCACGTTCCCCAGTGGAACATAGGGCTTCAATCTAGTGGCTTGAAGTATCTGTAGCAGTGTTTAACTTTTTTACAGGATGGGATGGACAGCCTCATGTCTAACATTTCCTCTTTACCAGCATTATTTCTGGCTTAGCGAGGTAAAGAGTGCGTCGGACGGGGATCGAACCCCGTACCATGTGCATGTTCAGCGTCCTAAGCGCTATGCCACGGACACCGTGTTGATTTCTGCTAACTTGGATTTAGTTTGGTTACAGGATTTCATCATGAGCTGACATTGGTTAGAGAACCATTGGAAAACCAACATTGGAGTACTGGACAGCTGTTTTGTCCTAGTTTGGGACTCTCCAGCAGTACCCACCCACCGGGGTTCGAACCCAGGGTCTGGTCTTCTGGTTATAAGACGAGGTCGTATACCATTAAGCCACTGGGACCCGATCCAATGGTCCATGAATTCTAACCTTTGCCGATTCACGATATAGCGCAACCGCTAGCCAATGTCTTCGGCGAGTATTTGTCCTCACACCTGACCTGCTGCACCCTCCTGGTCACGACTTCCCACTGGAACCACAGGTAACTACCCAACTAAATAGGGCCAATCACCAGTGAATTTGTTTGGTTTTCTATCTCTGTATATCTATTGTATGTCTTTGAGACCCCTACGTAACTCGATATTTTCCTTTTTTTCTATGTTCGTCCTGATTAAATTATTTGTCTCATTGCGTAAGTCTGATATCACTTATTCAACTCGTCATATGCATTCACAAACATCGACAACTACTTTTGTGACAACTCATCACTTTCGTTGCTTCCATTCAATGAGAAGAAATGTATATTAATGCGATTTTACAGCTAACCCGGAGAATGCACTCACCAAAAACAGCCTCTTTGCTGAACTACGTGTTTCGTCTTCAAATTGTCATGTATTGACTTAGTCAATTTGCTGACAGCTTCAGACACGAAACCAGCAAATTACTCATCAGGGTTTAATTACAGTCTTCACTAGCATCTAAACAACATTCATCATTTGCAGTGAAGAGCTGTAAGATGTTTCAAACATCCCAGGAAGTAGACTCGTTTGGTGGACTTCACTTTCCTATGAACTAGTCAAACAAATCTTTCAATTATGTATTCGACTTAACAATGCAACATTCAAATAAACGCAGCTGGATAAATTTTCTAATTTCCACGCTTGTGCCAATATTATATGCAACTAAAATGAAGTAATATCAGATTCTCCGTTGGAAACAAAATGGACTCCAAATACTTTGCCGGGGGTCAAGATACGACTCAAACTACTATTCGACAGTTAAAGGAGTGAATAAATCTAACAGTGAGTATTTCTGAATAAAGGCCATGGCACAAACATGTTGCAGTATAACTTCATAATATACATGATTACGCATCAATATAAGAATACAAAGACTCACTAGACCATTCTGCATTGAAGTTCACCGATCCGTCGTGAGAATTCCTCATTAGTATCATGTTTTTGTGACCATAATCTTTCAGCTACAGCAGCACCTCTGGGCCTGCATATAAAATGTCACAGAGATGAGAGAAGATACTTCGTTGTAGTAAATGAAGCAAGAAAAATAAGGTCACACTAAACTTTTTTGTCAGGCTCTTCAAAAATCTGTCCGTCATAAACTGGATCTCTCATTGCATCATTTCTGGATGAGTCTCGCCTTTGTAGCATATTTGAAGGCATATCACTCAATATCTGACCAGCTGTGTCATTCATTGATGAAAAGATGTAAGGCTAAGTGAGGCCAGCGCCAACTAGCCTGAAAATTCAGTAATGATCATTTGATATCAAAACCAGTAGAACCGTCAACTTTACCCTTAGCGTTCAACATTCAAAAATAGTGACTGTTAAAATATGCGATAGGTTGAAAACAGTCATAGCAGTACTGTTAATCACAATTCATCTCTACGATATTTGTTTGATGATTGGCTAACAATGGAGTCCCATCGATCTGTCAATCCTGTCTCATCTGAACCTGAGGGGATGTTAGTGAATGCTCATATTCTAGAAGAGACTCAGCATTGGGCTACTTTGTCATTTTCTGCTTCAAGGCACATTTTCACTCAGTTGTCTTGTCGACTTCGAAAATCCCTATATACACTTGGTTCATTTCCACGTGACTCAACTCACACCATTTTGTTAATTGCTCGAAACAGGTTAACGCCAAAAGTTCTATGAATGATTCGCAAACTGTACTTACCATGCTAGAGTGATTGCATTAGTCTCATCCACATGTGTGCCCCACAGTGTAGCTTCACCACCAATGACTAATGATGCCTCCTCGACTGTGCCTGTAAAAGACATGATTATAATAATTATTATTATCATCATCATCAGAGGAAGCTGATAGACTGAATGACGATCATTGTAATTTGCAAATTCAGATATCCCGAGTTCACTGGTGAGCGAAACATTCGCAATTCAGATTGTTTCGTATGTTAAGGTTTGATGTGTTGCCGTCTTCTGAATAAGAGGAGTCGGCACTATCAATAAAGTAAGACACTGAGTTTTGATTTAGAAGTGGTTAGTTAAATTACCAATTAAGGGTGCGCTATATTTGAGGCGTCGGAAAAGCTAGACTGATCTTTATAGCTCTGAAATGAGTTTCGAACTTTGATGTACTCAGTATAAACAATAAATTCTAATTTTCAATAGAAATGTCAAGTCAGTCACTACTTATATATGGATCAGAAACTTGGGCTGGGTGTCACAAGAAGCATTTCCTGCAAGCCTCGGACTTTTGTCATCAGCTGCCCACTCTGGCTCCGTATTGAATGTCAAATGGCTGGCGAGAAAGCATTAGCAACAAGAAAGTCTGCGAACGAACCAACCAAGAATCCACCATGCAACAAATGTTTAGGAGAAAGTGTACATGGATACGGCACACGCTGAGGAGACCATCGGGTAAATACTTTATACTTGGCCATCGCAGTTTCATCTGTATGAACAAGGAAATACTCTCCTCCCATACATATCCATTTCCAAGAAAATAATATCAACAGTCAAACGCCTAAACTCTTATCTTTGCTCTTACTCCAATACTTAACACTTTATCTCAATTCTAAACATTATGTTCTGTCAACCCATCGTCCAAACGGTATTTGGAAACGAGATCAGGATGAAGTTTGCACCCACATTCGTGTACAAAATTCATGCTGGAGCTGCAATAACTACAGGTTTTGTAGTCCACCGAATGATTTGCATTCAAGACGATTCGTTCGAACCCACTTGATAATGTTGCCCCTGTTTTCATCTCTACTCTTAGTCGTCAATTTGGAAATCAAATAGACGCTATAACATAAGCAGCAGATCACAAGGTTAAAATTGTGATGGTCTTACATTCTCACAGTGCTGGTCTAGCTGAGCCACTCACTGATGAATTCTTCTATCGCATGAAATGTCCTATTGGTGGATGTGATCAGACTGTGTCAGATTAAATGGCATTTGTGTCGAAGTTGGAAGAAACTAAAACCATATGAAATTGTCATGAAAAAGTTGGATCGGACTGACAAGAATAGAAGAAACCCCACCTTCAAAATACATTCAATGCCTAATTCGTATTTAACACCTAAGACGATCTCAAATAGTCACATAACAGCAAAACTAACCTGAGACAGGATTAAACCAGAATGGATAAATAAAACCATGCATTCCCGGTCAGGATATTGATGAATACGCAATGGGACAATCTGAAAGACCAGCTCCACACAACCAATATATTTGCTTACTTGTTAACTTAACCGTCAGAGATACGTGGTATTTATAAATGATGTACTAATGAATAATACAGGCGAATTGTTGGTGCGGAGTGTCTCATCCTTCCGTCTTTATTTACGTGGATTGCGAAAACTAGAAGTAAAGGACGAACCAATACTGGTGTTGAGTCATTAATCATCAGTCCTACTACTAACGTCAACATAAAATAATTCATCAATCACTCTTCTTTCACATCAACTTTCGGTTGAATTTCTGACATCATGAAATTCAGCCCATCTATCTATTCATCTGCCTCAGTTTTGAGAACTCCCGCTCAGATACACACATACTTTGTTGCATGTGAGACAGGAATCTGAGTTCACATTTGTGCATACTTCATCAGATCTAGATTCATTACTGAACGATTGCTTTTGAGGATGTGTCTGTTCAGTGTTGATGAATCTGCAATTCAACAACCGAGTTCACATAATACAACGACACTAAAAAACATCCAACTCACCTACATATTCTCTTCATTATTTTTGAATTCCTAAACGTAAGAATCCTTAGTCGTTATTTATATTATCTCATACTGTGCAGTTTCAAATAACCGACCAATTCACATTTTTAAATGACTAACAAGCTCAAAATTCAGCAAATTCAATAGATAATGTCAACACATAAGTTTGGTTAATGACACTATTCCTGTCAAACCATACAGTAAATCAACTAACCTCCAAATTCTCTGATATCTTGTTTGTAGTATTTGGTCCAATCATATTCATTATATAAATCACTTAAATCCCAATCCCCAGAGATTATGACGTTGAATTTTCCTGTAGTAGCGTATCTAGTATATGTTTCCCAGTCTGTGGCTTTCCAAACATGAATGACTGCGGTTTTGTAATCCTATAAGATGGAATCAAACATTTATACAATTACTGGTTGTTTGTCGAACGAATACATATGTCTTTCAATGAGAGAAATTTACGATCAGATGGTAATCTAGAAAGTGAGAGACACCTTATTCTAAGGATGGGAGATTTCGATTAGGCGGTGATTACAAGGAGAAATTTCTTACCTATCTGAGATGTCTAAAACCTATCTTTGAAGAGATGTTAGGCGTTTTTCTATCTTTAATGGAAAAAATACAGAGTTGGCTCGTTTTCCATAAAGTGGAAGATGGAATCAACTCGCTGCCACTCTATTTTCCACTCTAAGGTCTTTGAATTTCTGGAAAAAGTATGTCATTTCTGGATTCGTCAAATCAAAGTAATCAACGTCTTACATCTGCTCCTTGGAGTTGGCGCTGACTGATTTCTAATAATCAGGACTGAAATTTGACCGCAAAGCTAGATGAAGACTTATAAAATGAGTAACGAGAACTTGGCTGTCTTTGATTTAAGAACAAAACGAGGAAGAACACTTGCCACTCTTGACGCTAATGTCTTCGGGAAATTAGCACACCTAAACAGTTATCCTGACACTAGATCAATCTGTTCCACGTTATGTTATAGCAGAGTAAAGAAAAAATTATTCAGTAATACAAATGACAGTCTAACTAATACAACAGAGCAGTTTGATGTCATTAAAACACTCCTCACTAATATTCGGTTTCTAGAATTCTTTAAAAACATGGTTAGGTGTAATTTTTTATTATAACTTGTTTTCACACAGTATTTTGGTACAGCAATATAATTATCGGCAGGTGATATCAAAAGCTCAAATTTAGCAGGTTAACCAATGATAGCAGGTGCGCGTCGGCAGGCGATCTAACCCGGACTATATGCACGATCGGCTAGCATCCCAACAGCTGTGCCACCGACGCACAGTGACAGATATGAAATGAATATAATTCATAGTAGTCAAGAAAGTGAAGCGTATTTCATCTCCTTTGAGACTCGTCGACTAGATGTATCCCCACTCCACTGGATAACATCACTACCAGCGGGACTGGGACTAAGGTATTAACGCGTGGTGTCATCTAAGAGCTTAAATGTCTCAGAAAACCAACCGAAGTGGTTCACTCAGTGGGAAATCCACAACTGTTCAGTAGATGAAACTATCTCTGGTGGCCCACTAATTTATTTTCCACAATGGGATCAAATAACTCAACTCAGTGAATGTAATGCGAAGATTCCAAGGTCAAGCACAAAGATTGATCTATTCCGTTTGAGTCAGCCGAATTTACAGAACATGAGAATTCAGCCTGATTTATCATACGTAACCGTATTGAATAGCTTTCTGTAGAAATCATTTGTTAACAGTTACACACGCATTGACACATGGGCACCAAATAAGGCGAATGAGCTACACTTATTATCGAATTATCCTTATTATATTGTTACCCACCATAGTTCCACACAGAACATGGAGTCTCAGCAACACCAAGTGACTCCAGACTCGTGATGAGCCTACTACTCGCTCTGTCTGCGCGCAGTTTGACATTTGTCCTACCAATTGAATTCTGTATGGGTTCTTGTCCGTTACTGTCTGCACTTGTATGTAGAGGTCATTCTTCTATGTCGCCTTTAGGTACAGAACACTGTATAACTGCAATTTCTCTTCTTTATGATTGAAATCTTGCAGCCACATTCTTTCAGGAGATCAGTATTCAGCTCATAAGAGCTTTCTATGTTTTCGGTAATAATCTGATTAACACACTCTTAGCGTACTTTTTGTCGTCATCTGAGTGGTTGGACCAGATTACTGACTCTACAGGTGTGAATTTGGAGATTTCAATTCCAATTCACCTGTGTTCACAGATTCCTAACAGTGTCATGAGACAACTTGTCCAAACTGTAGTCTGAGCGACCTCATATATGGTGAGAACACTTCGTGTCTTCATGCTTATTCTCGAAATGTGACACTTCGGTTGAATGATCTACTCAAAGCTTCCACCCACAGACGCAGTTCATCGTAGAAATTTTCTTCTATATTCCAGGAAGGAATGAGTTTATTTTCCATACTTTTCTGTGCATCAAGATCATCGTAGTGATGAGTTAAATTTTTAAACAGTGGGGTTTTAAGCCCAGCAATCAACCTTTCTCTTTTTCATGGCTAAGGAGTGGCTGATAAGGCAGAAATCCAGTTAAACACTGACAGTTGATCATCCAATCGCTATTCATGAAACTAACCGACATCGGATAAGTCTTATAGATATAATAAAACACCAATAACGGGAATATGAGAAATACCCTCATTATTGCGATCATGATATGATAAAGAGTAACTGTGAACAAGCAAGGCTATAAAGTTATGCTAATACTCTAAAATGCCTGTGAACAATAGGCGTTTACTGAACCACAATCCACCTTGTGAAGTAAGCACTCAGATAGTGCTGTGCGTGTAGATAAACAATTACCACTAAACACATCTCCCAACACTTACCTTATATCCGTAATCTAAAACCTCGTGACATAAAATAGGTGTAATCGAAGATTTCGGTGAGCAACACTTTTGACAATTTCGACAAGTTTCGACTCGTAATAGTTCGCTAATAGGTGATACTTCCTAGGGATTTCCATTTTTTTCATGAATTCAATTATTTCTGGATTCCTAGCCCTAAAGGAAAGAACACAAAGTTGTGTGGGTGACTTGATATGATTATGAGCAATAGTTTGTGCTCAAAACATTATCAGTTAATATTACTGTATAGCACTGTGGGATTTATCAAAATAAAATCTTATCTATTATGGAAAAACACAGTAAGTTTAATCTCACCACGTCAGTGACTTTTGGAAACCGAATTGTCTATCAAAATAGTTATCCAAATCACTGACTGATAGTTTGCATTATTGCAGGAGACGAATTCAGATACATGGAAGGGCATTCATCATCCGGTAGATAAAGAACGCTTTAAAATTCGTGAAGAAGACGACGTTCCTACTTGGTTCCCTATTTCATCCTTGAGATCTCTTTAACCGCTAACTAACTCTGAGTGGGCATAGCACAGCATCTTGTAGACAACCAATAGCTTGAGTCGAATCACCTACAGATGTACCATTTCTTCACTTCATATTTGTGACTGTATGAGTGAAACGCCAAATCATACAAAAACTCCAGTTGAGACTTTTTCGTTTCAATCATCGAAAGGAGGAGAATTAAATCGATGACTACTGAAATACTCAGTGTTTCGAACAAGTGTTGACAATGAGCAGAAGAAATAATCGTGTACTATTTAAGGCTATCAACTATAGTTCATGATAACAATAACATTAATAATAATGGCTTTATTCCAAACAGCAATTCTAATACCGTGTGGAATTTCCAGTCTGTAGTACAGCATGTATTACATCTGATTCTCTCTCTCTACACAGTGCAAGTAGAAATAATTGAACAGGGTATTCATATTGGTAATATTGTTCGAAAGTCTTTAGAACATTAGATTAAAATTAAAGTGGAAACATTAAGAAAAGTATGTCAATAAGGCAGTGAATTAAAAGTGTCGTTTACTTTATGTTTTTTAAGAAATTAGTAGTGACATGCCTTACACTTTTCTCATTACATAAAATGCGTGTATTGGATAAAATATTGTGCAGTTTTTATACTTAGTCATCCGAGCATAAAGTCGTCTATAGTTGCTTACGGTTCTACCTGATAAACGCGAAGGGAGAGTTATCGATAGAGAGGATGCGAAAGGTCCAACAAGATAATATGTGCTAATTCCTTGCATGAGTCCATGTGTCGATCTACAACTGCACTAACAAGTTGGTTTAGTGACACCCCACTCACTCTAATGACAACATTTGTTGCCCTTCATAATGTGACAAAGTCTTCCTTAAGTAGCCCAGCAGATATTAAGGGGCAGTAATAAGGAATTTTAGGCAGCATACACGAATTATCAAACTTTGAAAATATGGACTGAGTGGTTCCAGATTATCTTATCGTCTTCACGTAGAACGTTGAACGAAATATCTTTCTGCAAACTAACTTGATATAGAAGGACCAAGAAAGATTGCCGGAAAGACACAATTCAAGGTGTTTAAAATCCGAGTTAGTTCCAACTTCTGTTAACCAGCTCATGTAAGTCCTGCTTGTGTCTGAAAGTGGAGTGACAACCTCCTAGTGAAGTCGTCTACGACATTCAGAAAACAAATAATATGGCATAATTCTCTTCTGCGGTTCAGTTGCAAATTATGCCATCAACAGTAATGAAATGATTCACAATCTATTTATGATATAAAATGGAAGCATATCATATCAATCACTTAGTTAAGATGATACCGTCACATCTGCTTTCATGCATGACAGGTCTTGATAAATAAGTAGTATAGATTTGAATCACTAACCTTCATACCTAATTTATTTATCTGATTATATGTATCTTATAAGATAATAATATTTTATAATAATAATGTGTTTTATTGAAACTGTCGGCGATTTCATTAAGGATATGTGTAAATGAAGACTTCGAATGAAACATTAATGACTCACAATTGCCAATAACATTGAAGCAATTTCAGTTGATTCTGAATATGCTCACAAATGATCTGCGATTATTCACACGTTCACATCCAAATTGTTTAGTTCAGATTCTCTTCACCATGACCTTTATTCAAACAGTTTTATTGAAGGCTGATACCGAACCCTGCATACACTGTTCACGGTGTATAAAACATTCAGGCTAATAATAAGAAGCCTTGAGAACAATTCTGTCAAGTGCAATTCACAATGTATACAGTATTGTTTTTGATTACTAATCATGACTCAGAAATGATTGGACAAGAGTTGTACAGACATACTGAACGTTTTATATATACCTTTATTATTTTAATTTCAACTATTTTTCTCACGAGGTTTGGAAGTGTACGACGAAAGAAACATGGGAATCATTCATTTCAACTTGGCTGAGATTGAAACAAATATAAATTTTAAGTAGTGTTACGATGCAATAGATGAGACGAATTCAACCTGCATTCATCTGAAGGAAGAAAACGTTTTCCGTCAGAATACTTCGAGAATTTCGGGATGTCTTAACGTGTCACCTCAATGAAATGTGAAATAAAAAAGAGTTTACTTACCAACAGCCAAAATTTATCTCATTGCCTCCAAGATGAATATATTTATCATGAAATCGGCTGGTGACTTCTGTAAACAGATTCTTCAAAAACTCAAATGTAGAATCATTGGCTGGATTCATTGGACCCAATTCTCCAGTTGGCGTAGAGTCGTAATAACATTTTGTTAGTAGGTCTGGATATGCTTTTCCCCATGACAATGTATGAGCTACAAGGAAGTATTGTTGGCAACCAATGGAGATCACTTTGACAATTTTTAGAAGGACAATATTACTTAGATAAAAATGGAGTGGCTAGTCCTCAGTCAACACTCCATATCACTCACCATTTGAAATCAATTGTCACTTCGTTTCCTGTGATGACACGCGAACTGCATCCCTCAACTCAACGATAATCCCTACTACTTAGAATGCAGTGGTCAAACACTTGACAGTTTTACTGACACTTCAACTTATGATATTCAAGCAGTTTGCCTTTCGATTTCTTCATCGCGTTTTCTGGTTAATGTGAAGCGATTGAAAGGGAAAAATTGAACCGTAAACACGCAATGATTTGAACAGAACCATTGTCTTTTATCCGTAAAGAAACGATAAAGGCTTTCGTCAAATATGAAACTGTCAGGCAATTCAGCACAAATCCACTTCATCACCTCACTGAGTTAATATATACTGAAAAATATAATATCATGAACAATCCGCACTACAGTTTCAAACCCAGTGCCTCTGCCGAATTCATGGTCCCATGTTGCATTTGCGGCATTATTTCGAGAACACCATCACTCTGACTCAAATATTTACATAATTTCATTTCATGTGGACACAGTTGGTGGTTAACTACATCATAGCAAATGTCTTCAAATTTATTTACCTGGAGTATCAAATTCTGGAATGATCCGGACTCCACGGAGACGAGCGTATTCCAATAAATCAGACACCTCTATTTCATCATATGTACACTTTTGTGGATGATATGCACCCTGTTCAGATTAAGACGAGAATCGGAATTAATAACAGGCTGAACATCGACTCAACTCACTTTGTCTGAAAGTTCTGGGTAGGTGGTTGAGACAAAGGGAAACGATTGGTCATCTGTGATATGCCAATGAAAGACATTCATTTTGACCATAGCCATGATATCCTGAAAACAGAAAATACTACGCTGAATATCACATCTCCTACTATCATCTTCCGTAGCGTTTCAACTGGCATGAAGTTCCTACCAGTATCCAAAAGCATTCCACGATGTGAGAATAATGGTTCATCTTCCACAGAACCCTTGAATATCATATTCTAGATGAAATATATTGATGAAGTCAAGTTATCAACAAGAACGAAACTCACTCCTCCAAATTCATCTTTGTACACCATCTGAAGTACAGTTTCGAGGGCACGTAGTGCACCCCAAATCTCTTTGGAACTTATCGAGATCTCTGTGTCTTCGATGTTCACGTTATCTGCAAAGTGGTGAATGAAATACTTCTTGTGTTGTGACTCACATGATTCGTTCATTATATCACTCGGCCACAGTTTATCTGCATTTTCGTCACATCCATCCATGATTTCAATTCTCAGTTTGTTTATGATACATTTGTCTTTGCTTTCCTGAGGAATTGGCGGGTGCTGCGATGCTAGACGGAGTCGAAATCTTGTCAGTGAGTCTATGAGTATAAAACATGTTGGGTAGTTGTGTTCGTAGGTGAGTGTGTGCATCATGTTGCAGGCGGTTGAATCTTTGTCGTAAACTGTTGGTTTTGGAACGATAGCTAGAGTGCGCCGACTTGCATTATTGAGGAGTAACACAACCATGAACAACGCAGAATAACAGATCATGATTACGTTTTGTTTGTCAGCAGTGTACTTCTCACTCGAATCTCAGCAAGTTTTATACTAAATGTGAATTGGAATTTGAACTCATTCGACATCTGATGAGAAAAGTATCATCCAACCAAATCAGCGTATCGCCTGATGGTTTGTCTGTGAGTTGTGTATTGATGGTATTTAGACAATCATAATGATTTGTGTAAATAATTTTTGGGAAATACAAATGTTACGATGATTGAAGGGGAGTCAGTTGGTGTTCTCATATGAAGTGGAAATTTAACCCTTAGGATACGCGCGTTCTGTGTATATTCGTGTCAGACATTCACCATCCAACTTCCATGGAATCACTTTATTTCAGAGAACTACGAAGTAACTACAGAAAGTATCTGCTTTTTAGTAAACACCAGTCTTGATGCATCTTTCACTGGAACAGAATAAAAGGGAGGCTAAAACTGCATGAGTTAAATTATGACTGGACAAACTTCTGCGCCACTCGAGGGTGCTTTAAGGTTTTGAAGTTATATTATGGTGTGTTTTTCAGACCAGGCTTGGACGCTGTTTTACATTTTTCTTCGATCGGGTAACACATACGACATCATACTTCACAGCTCAGCCACAATGGTCAGACAAGTTTCTAAAAGCTTCTCTTGAGGTTACTGTGACGTTCAGGCTTCTAAACAAGTCGTTCTGCAGAAGATTTTGTTAAAAAAGCCAAACCTTTTTGATTCAACTGTTGTTGCCAGCAGTTGGAGGTTTTGTAAAGTACCGATTAAGTTTTGACATTAGTACATACTATCTAGTGCGGTTTGTGTTGTGTGAAATGTCAACCGCATAACCTGTCATATACAACTGGTGAATGGTACCATATCTACAGTTTGGTGAATCTATACTTTCAGTAATTTACTGGTTATAGTTTGCTTTGCTATCGCAAGGCAGATTGTTCCCATATTCTCATTTGGGTTAGTGCTTGGTTAATTTTATAATTGTGATATTTCAATGTAATTTCTCATCATAGCTTACCACACTGAATGCTGAAATCAACTTTCTTGTGCAGGTTGTAGTTACCACAACGCTTTCTGGGCACACCGACCATTCTCAGGGTTCACTGATGCGGAAATGTTTTTCAGGCTTTCTCTTATCCACTCACATGAAATTTAGTCTAACTATGTCATTGTGAGGCTTCCTGAAAATATTATCGGGGATAGGTATGAGATAATTGAAGTCCCTCTTCGGAACTTTAGGATCGTTTCAAAGCTGCTATGATAAGAAGAGTTGTACCTACAGGATCAGTAATTGGCTGAAGAATTCTCCCCAGATGTACATTTTAGGGATATCACATACACAAATACCTTATTAGATGTAACAGCTAGTCAATGATATCAAAATTGACGATGCATTCAGAGGGCATGAGGAATCCAGTCAATCTTTCGAAATACACTTTAATAAAGTTGTGAGGGGAAGACGACAGGACTGTAATGGCTGTTAGACCTAAAATAGGCATTTCAACCACATTATTTACTAGTTCTTACTGTCACAAGGATCTCTGTGCTCTCTAAATCGCTGAATCGTCGAGTTTTGACTCGGCGGCCCGTGCAAATAAAATCTATCAGATGTGTAGTATTTTGAAAGAGATGACAGTAAGAAATTTGTCGCATGATTCCATATTTATCTGTTGTAGCACATACTCCTGACTTATTGGGAATATGCGATCGTATTTAAGAAACCCATAATACAGCAGTGCGCTCATATCAAAGACGTTGTAATGCCACTAACGAAAAATAGAAGCACTTTGCAACAGCATATAGCTCAATTATCTACTTTACTTGGACACCGATGAGCTCACCTTTTGGTTGGAGCGGACTGGAAATCACATTCATGATTGTAATGTGATGATTGTTTTGTGTTCCTCTGTCGGTTAGACTGAAACAAGCCAATGTGTCGACGCATGTCATAGGCATCTCCTTAGCATTGTATAAAGCAATGAGTCAGGTGATAACCACCAGAGATAACTAACGCAACGGTCCAGTTGAAAAATATCCCTCCCATCCTGTCAGTTATAATCCTCATTGAGTTGGCATTCATTTCTGTTTCAAACATCAATTATGCATGTCTGCTATTCAATCAGTCTTATATGCATGTGTGTGACTCATATAATTATATTATTAGAGATACTCCTGCCTTTCCTTGAAGCAAATAGATTTTACACTTTCTGATGTTATTCAATTACAAAATCTATATTTTCCGGATATATAACGCTCGAAAACAAGTTCCCCGAAGTTTAACTGTAGTGAAATCCACATATCCATTTGCACTGTAGTGGCAGCGAGTTCGGTTATGTCATTACAGAAGATAGGAAGCATTAGACATTCGTAACGGTCATATCACGTTGAAAACACCGGTTCTCTTCCAGCCGGTTAGTACTTGATGAATAGGTGACTCGATGGGAATGCCAAGTGTAGCTGACCTTTCAACATACTGAAAGTTCCACAATGTACCTGAAGTACTGCTTGGAATAGAAAAGACACTGCCATATGCTGTTGTAAAGCACCCTAAGAGAAATGCCAGAGGTGTCTTTGTCAGTAAAAATACACCTTCCTTGTTTCACCTAAAGGAAACAGCCCTTCAGCTAAAAACCACTCAGTGTTTATGAGTGACTGAATGGCCAAAGTGACAAATAAAGTAAACAGGTCATTCCACAAAGACGACGAAGTGATGATTGTAAGACATCAGAGAAGATGTCAGTGAGTTGAGTGATGATGAGAATCTGATTACGCGGTAAGTGGCATTTTCAATGAAAAGGGGTATACATCAGTATCTCAGTGAGGACTTGATTCAATTATTTAGATGTGACAACGATATCAACCTCATCCGAACAAGCGGTTGAAAGGTCGAGAATGCATGTGTATAATCAAGAAATATCACGGAGTAAATAACAGATTAATTGTTAGAATGCTTGAGCGCCGTTTATTAATTAAAAAGATACATGGATGAGTTCATTTGAGCCAAACCAAGTATTTAAGGCTACTTTATGAACCACCTCTTTACGAATACTAATATATTGGTGGATCCAATCACATTTGGCTCTCTAGCATATCTAAAAACCTGTTGCTTTTGCCGCGCACACCTTACCAATAAAGCTAGTGGTCATGTATTTCCCAGAGTGCCCTATTTGGGAATCCGAAAACCAGAAGGAGATAGATAATGGTACTCGTTATTAACAACCTATCTTCTAGAAAGCGTCTGTAGGTTAAGCTGAGTATCTGAAGCATTTCTGTTATTTCCATGTTCATCGTATTACTGAAGATGGCCGTTGACAAGATGACATGTCTACCTTCTGCATGAATGTATGCCTATGATAACAGGTGGAATGTGCATCTGTTTTAAAAGCGACACTATGAGACGCAGACTTCTTGTAAACGTACCCATCTGTTTGAATGAGATCGTAAATATAAATAGTGTGATCGTGGTCAACTGAGATAAGATTTGTAGATTTTAGACATATCATATTGATTTCACCCACTGTTGGACTCCAAATTATAGCTTCATCAGTGTTCATTGTTCGAAGTAACTGGGAATCAATGGAAGTAGTTATATGCATGGAAAAGTAATCTTTTAGAAAATATAGAAGCATGTCTGAAGTCCAGCACCACCTCTAGTTATTTCGACTTTCTGTGTAGTGTTATAATAAGCTGCCGTCATAGATACTGCATTCGTCTTCTTTTAAGTAACGGACTCTCACACACATTCTAAACGAGAAGCGGTTTTATACAGGAATGAATCTACCTTTATAGGCTTGGGAAAATGTAATTTTGCAAGTGTTATCATACAGTAGTCAGTTTATGTTGAGAAGCAAATCGTATTGGTATTAGTGTTACAGTTAGTGAAATTCAGATCACTGCAGTAAAAACAGAGACATTGTTATTTGAAAATTCAACGAGTGTAGAATACACATCGATTTGTGATACATTTTGAGTTCTCTTAGATCTGTGATAATTTCAGATCGGTGTTACAAGAGGTGAGTTTAAACTGGACAACAGAGTGTCATGTGATTACACCAGCAAAACTGTATTGGATCAGTTCAAACCGACAAGTTCAAACGATCGGTTACACTTACAAATAAGCAGATAATAACTGTCTTGTTGTGTTCTATCACATGCATGCAGTCTAATTATTGAAATTAAATTGAAATGGAGACTGGTGAATGTTCCTTCGTACTTTCTTGCATATGTAGATTCATGAAAATCAATTTTGAGTTTCAACTCATTTATTCCTACTCAGTCTCTTCATCCGAAATTATCTCAGTCCGGAATGTGACATTTGAAAGTAAAACTTCCTGAGAATTCGATTCGATACATGCAATCACTTCCAACCAATCTATCCGTCACACGTCACACAGATGGATGAAATTTCAACCTCACTTAGTATCTTATCCGCCAATTCCTCACAGTGATGAAGCAACAGTGCTGATGTGAAAGACATGATGCGGAAGACGGAATTGATAATATGCCAGTAAATTTTGGCTCAGTCATCTAATGAAAGAATCATATGAGTTCTGACTCAACATAATTCAGTCACCTTTTTGTAGGTGTCGTCTTCACAGAAAACATCGAAGCACCCACTGATTTCAAGATATTTTTAGGATGGATTTCACGCTTATAGAACCATACATCAGTCGTCTTGCGAAGATGTTTTTTCTCAGAAGTTTACTAACTACATTATTTCATTGATGTACCTTACTCAGAATACATTATTCGAAGACGTTGTAGAATACAAAATAGTAAAACTACGACGTAGGATGCCACTAGATACTGTGAGAAGATCTTCCCCCTTCAAATCTAGATGATATATTCACACTGAATCCACCTTCAGCTATTATTGAAACAGACTTCTGTACATGGGCACCAGTCATCGTGATGCGCCTAACAGTGTTCATTCATTGTATCTCTGGAACCGAAGACATTTCACACAACTATTCTGTAGAGAAATGTTAGGTGTTTTAAATATACTGCTAGAACCTCCAAGTCACTA